GTAGCGTTGTTTACATTTTGCAAAGAACTATTGTATTCTGCTTTTAGCTGATAAATCATGTACATGTAAACGGGTTGAATGTAGACAATGTTAATGTTTTTGCTACTACTGCTGGCTAGGAACGCTGGGCTGGGACACAAACACAAAAAAAACGAAGCTCAAAGCACTAGATCAGTTTCTATCACTTATACACTTACAATTTACAACCATTCAAGGAACTAGCATGTTGAAAATACTTTACGAAAACATATTAAACATAAATCAGTCGAATGCAATGTATTTTCTTCTTATAAGACACCTTTTTAGCTTGATTGCTTCTAGTACTCTATTTATTCCAATGTCCTCAAATAAAACGAGCAATAATACGTAACAATAAGGATAAAACACACACTAAAGTGTATTTGGGGTATTTTTGATCTAAATTCACTATCAAAACAACAAATTTTCCGTTTTTAAGTTGTAAATGTATTACAAAAACTACTTCGATAAAATGTAAACAAAAGTTTGTATTTGTGTACGAAATATGGATTGCCTGCGCATGGTAGCGAGTTTTTAACCGGATTTATGACAAGTGATAGGTTATATCCCGAAAACGTCAGCGCAGTAAAAGCTGCGTGTCTTTTTCCCGCCCAGGGAGTGTCATGGGCCTGTCTCGTGTCTCACTGAGTGTATTCTCACGTTCTTCTTTTATATATCGGTAAACAAGGATACAAATATATTCAGGTTCATATTTATAAACAGAACTCAGCTGAGTCGGAGTTGGGTAAGTCGTCCTTGAACTAAAATCAAAGTTCGGTTACAACGTCTCTAAAGTTCCAAGTGGTGCCGGTGTCACACTGGAATTTAGAGATGGATATTAGCAAATCTGTAAGTGTTAAGTAGGTACATTTATGGATTACTACTCATCTCTAAATTCGCACGATATAAACGATCCACAGGTAGACGGAATGACAGTTTGTTTGATTTGGTACAATGTTGCCAGAATATGTTTTTGTTGTGTACCAGATTTTTCGAATTCTATTTGCAGTGACATCTAATTTATTGAAGAGAAAAAAAGAGGGTTTTTATAGATAACGAACCCAAACAAGGAACACAATATATTTATATATATATATATTTTACACGTGAACACTGCCTCAAGCAAAATGTACTAGATCTAGTACAATTGTGAATTGTACTAGACTGGCAACACTGGTTTGGCAACCTAGTTTGTGAGCGGCGCGCCAATTAATGAGTTCTTTTGACGTTTGAAGGATATTTTGGCGTGTTGTTTTCTCTTTTTAACTTTATGCATTCATCAAATCGTCTCACTCATGTTAGGCTCACTCATCATAATGCGCCACAGACACAGTATACTATGCCACAGTATTCTATGCCACAGAGACGCGATCAGCCAGAGGGCAATGATGTACCAAAAAATATAGATTAACACGTATGAAAATAAAAATATTAAAATTAAATTTATATTTTTATGTTATTTATGTAATTTTAAAATAATGTGTTTTTATGAAATTTAACTGGGTGTTCACTGCACAAATGAACCAATGGAGAAACCGCTCCTGGTTTGGGGATTTCTAAACGAAATTTGTATTTTAGAAATTTTAGGATGTTTTGACTTTGTTATTTTTTATTATAGTATGTTCTAGTAAGCTTATAAATAAAGGCATTTCTTTATAAGCTTAACACGACATACTTCGTAACAGCGTTGTGGTTACTCTGATGACGTCAGACATACCGTGGTAACTCGTAGCACTTGTCGTTGTCACATGTCAAATTGGGGATTTGTTTACTTTGTTTTTGTTCAGATAAATAAAAGTGTTTTTGTCACAGACGTCATTTGGTTTTCGTTCTTTTGTTATTTATTTAAATATGTCTCCTACAACAAAAGGAAGAAAAAAATTAATAAGTGTTATTTGTGATGAAATAACAATGATAAATACTTGTGCCAGTAGTCCCATATTTTCATCTTTATATTTCAATATAAATAACAGTATCCAATGGCCATCAACATCGCTCTCGTGAAGAGTTATTTCAGTGCCCCGTATTTCAAATATAATTTCTTTCATAGTAAATAGAGTTTTCTTTGGTAAATACAAAAATGCCCAACCCAAATATACAAAATGAACCATATAACCCGTAACCACAGAAAAATGTATCTAATTTAATATCTTTACAATACTTTGCGCATGCTCGATATGTTTAAATGCGGACCTTACTGACCTTACCACACACCTTACCCCTAAAAACATCATGGTTAGTAGTAGTTACGTATTTTGGTAACGTATGACATCATGGAAGTAACCAAACCGTTTAAAGAATTGCTTTGGTTACATAAGTATGTTCTAGTAAGTTATGGTAAGCTTATAAAGAAATGCCTTAAATGCCTCGTTAGATGTAGCTACATATGCTTTGGTAACATGTAACCAAAGCAGAGTAACCAAACGTTATAAAGAAATGCTCTGGTTACAGAAGTATGTTCTGGTAAGCTTATAAAGAAATGCCTATAGTTCAGTGGTATACCTATATAAATCCCTGTGTTCTTAGGCAATTCTATATACACACAACTGTTGTAAGGGTAGCATAACTCTGATGTAAATAAAACAATTTTTTAAGAAAATATTTTTTTTTAAATAAGTAAAGTATTATTTTGAATTATCCGAAATTATTCGAAAATTATCCGATGGTGGTTGAAATTATCCGAAAATCGGATAATTATCCGGAAAGTGGCAACACTGTGAGTAAATATAACCTTAAATCATGTTTTCATTCATCTTCTGCTACTTTTATCATCGTCTGTCAAATTTTTTTCTCACACAACCATAAAACATAAATTATTGGAAAATATCATGACGTCATGCACAGTTCAGTTTAGCCAATAGTGCAAAAAAATAATTCTCTAGATTCTCGCAGAATAATTTGCAGCGCTGGCCCCAAGAAGGACATGTTAACTTGCCGCGAAGAAATAATTGATGGGTTATTGGAAGAAGAAATGGATGCCAATAATTTAGATTTAAATGTTGTAGATGGCAAAGAAAATGTCACAGAAGAGAATGTCGAGCAAGCAAAGAAAAAAGCGAAGTAAAAGCAGCCATAGAATAGGCAAGTACGAAGGACAAGCAGGAAAATGTTGAAAAAGGTGCAGTGACTGCTATAAAAGATTACAGCAGGAGGAAGGTTTCAAAATAGCTAGAACTAAAGCCAAAAAGGTTTTAAATTTTTGTGAAGATTGTGAGGGAAAGCCCACCATGTGCTTTTCCGTTTTAAATTCTTGAATGTTTAGTAGTTTAACCCTTTACTTGTGTTTTTTATTTTTTTTAGAATGCCTTTTATTTGTTTTATTTAGAATGTGTTTTATGTAGTGCGATCTATTGTCTAAATTATTGGAATACTCTTTTATTTAGCGACAGTGAACAAGTTTTACGTTATTGTATTACTTTTTTTTTTCAATATACACGCTTACTTTTTATGCCTCTAGAATATGCTGTTTTTACAAACCAATTCAAAAACCGCTTTGCTCCTATCTTTGTATACCTATTGGGCAGCCGTACATAAAATATAAAGATCAAGGATATAGCCGTAAAGATTTTACAAGGGTATAAACCAGTATTATGTCGTGACCCACCGGTGAGCACGAACGTTCCTTAGCAAAGGCCGGCATGCCCCATCGGTGGGTTACGACGTCGCGAACGTGTTAAAAATATAATAATCTGCCTGATTGAAAGAAAAGGACTTCGCTCTAGCTTTGATTTGCTAACCTTCGAATCCTTCCTGAGATTGACCCCTCCTGGTTTTAAAAAGGCTTTCCCTTAGTACCCTGAAGTAAAAGTCGGCGTAAGAACACCTCTGTAGTGAATGTTTGAAGTGCAACTCTGTCTCTCTGACATTTTAGGATCTAATCCATTTTATCGCGCAGGACATATTTGCGTCAAGATAAATCCACGTGAGACAAGTTAGCATCTGATATAAATAAAATGAGCCCAATTAATGCGTAGTCAAATTAAGGTGAGTTAATTCCAAAAAAAAGTAAAACAAATTAGAGCGTGATAAAATATTCCAGTATTCTAGTTAAAATTAAAAAAAAACTAATTTACCTAACCTGTGCCTGGAGCCAACGCGAGTTGCAGTATATGGCTCCAGGCTGCACAGTAAGTTAGGTAATCGGGACGGTGGTGTAGCGGTCTATCACGCTTATATTCATTTATAGGCAAGTTTATGAGTCTGAGACTGCTGGGTTTCGAATCCCAGACCGGACCATGTGGATTTTTAATTAAATTGCATGGTTCGGTTTAGGATTTGATGTGTGGCGTATTAATAGAAATTAAATTTCTATTGATATGACATGCAGATTAAAAAAAATCGCCATACATTACCGTCTCGATGATGGTGGGTGAGGTTTTCCGGGTTTTCCTCACCTCACCTTACCTCACCATCAATCATCTTTAAGTCGCCTCGGAGCGCCACGGCAAATAATAATAATAGCCGTCCCTTCCCCTACACAAGTCGTTCAGTCGACTTCAGGGGTTGAAATTCAATCGTAAGGGGGTGAATTAGGGAGAGTATTATTATATTATTATAATTTTTTTCATTTTATGTATAATTTTTTTTAAGCCATCCGCGTTGATTCCAGGCCTTTCAGGTTAGGTAAATTAGTTTTTTTATATTATTTAAAATACTAAAATATTTTGTCACACGCTTTTATGTGCTTCGCTATTTTATCCAGAGTTATTTTTTCCTGGGCTGTTTGTTCCTTCGCTATTTTGACCTTGCGCTATTTTTTTTGCACTATTTTGTCTTTGTGCTATTTTTTCTTGCGCTGTTTTGTCCTTGCGCTATTTTGTCTGCTCTATTTTGTCCCGCGCCATTTTGTCCTGCACTCTTTCGTCATAGGGTCGCCGAGGTCAGTTAATCTACATAGAAGTTCGTCTGCCATTAGGCTCCGCATTAGTGGGAATAGAACTTCTAGGAAAAGTAATAAGGGAAAATTATATTTATTTATTTGTCTTCATTATTCCTTTTATTAAAATATTATAAATTAATTCTCAATTTACACAATATACAGAAAATTCAATTAAAATATCAGTTCTTTTATAACACAAGCCTTTATAATTTACCTAAAATATGTATAAACCACTATTTCTCCAACATTTCTTGAATTTTTATAAAACTTTTTCCTTTAGTTTCCGGTAAAACGAAAAACATCACTATAAAACCCAAAAAACATGAACTACTGAAAAACCACATGCAATACTCGACCCCTAAGTAAGCCGAAACCAAAGGAAAACAAAATGAAACAAAGAAGATCGCTAAATTGTTCATAACTAAAGTTGATCCGCAACCCTTAGCTCTTAAATCATTGGGAAAAAGTTCACTAGCAAGAACCATGGGAAGACATTCCAAACCCAGACCGTACCCTATTAAATATAGAGATATACCGAAAACTGGTACCCAAGTTAGATTTTCAAATAAAACCGATTCTATATGTTGTAAATAAAAGTAGAATCCTAGTAGAAATAAGGATATTGATATAGTAATTGAAGATGTTAATAATAAAGATCTTCTACCCAATCTATCTACGAGTAACACAGCAATTAAAGACATACCTACCTGTACAAACCCTGTTATAATTCCGAAAGTATTTCCAGATGCAACACCAGTTTTATCGAAGATTGTACCCATAAAAGCAAGAAAAGTGTATATACCAGAAAACTGTTGAACAATACAGACACCGGTACTGATCAAAAAAGCTTTTCTTGTGGCACGATTTCTAAATATATCCAAAAAGTTCCTGTTCGTCCGTCTATTAGCAGCATACATTTGCATCTTTTCGTACTCTTTTTCCAACTCTGCAACATTTTTAATCATCCTTAATCTCTCCAAAGTACGCAAACATTCCATCTTTCTACCTTTTAAAGTAAGAAACACAGGTGATTCTGGTGTAAATATCGATAATATTAAATGCAACAAAACAGGAATACCGCAAATCAAAGTAAATCCTCTAACGCTGGTAATCGGACCGAACAAAAAACCCAAAAGTACCCCAAGAGGTATTGCAATTCCCATCAAACATCCCATCCTTCCTCTGTTTCCATCTTCGGAAATTTCGTTAATGTAAACAGGAATGCAGTAGATATAAGAAGCAACAGCGTACCCTCTGAAAAATAGGAAACTGTAATAAAAATAAATGTGATTAGCAAATGTTGTTATAATAACACTACAAAGAAAAGCAACAGCTGTTATTATTAATATTTTCTTTCTTCCTAAGAAGTCTGATATTTTGACGGAAACTATAAGTCCAATGATGCCTGCTATTGGTGGTATAGAACCCATAATTGATATTTGTGGGATGGTAACAGGAACTCCAAGTGGATTGATGGTTGTATCGTTGGATTGAAGTTTGAGAAGAACTGGTGAGAGCCATGCCATACAAAATCCTGCGTTAACTGCTAGCAAATTAGCTGAAATAATACATTTTTATCACTATAATTAGTTGTAACGGTAGATAGGCAACACAGATTGTACATGTGCATAGTAAGGAGTTGGTACACATGTGTTACCAGCGGTAAGGGCGTAGATAAGTGGGGGAGGTAATGGGGGTAATTACCACCCCAAGCCATAGTCAACATCATTATTTTTTTTCGTTATATTAAACAAAAATAGAGAGATAAAATAAATACATTAAAACAAAGAGATTCTTAAACATTGTCATCTATAATAATAATATTTCTGCAAATTAAAAATTAAAATATACAGGGTCCCATTAGTGCATAATTGTTCAATATTTTAATTTGTGTTATAGACACGCAAACAAGATTCAAATGAAAGTTATATGGATTGGAAAAATACGTTTTAAAAATATTTTTGGATATACAGGGTGTTGCGTTTTTGCCTGACAAATAAAAATATATATTTTATAAATAGAATACCCTGTATTTTATTTTATTTTATTTTTAGAATGGTTTGGGAATATTATATTTAACCCTAGAATGTTTTTTAAAAAATATTAGAGTTTTGCCAAAGAATTAATTTTTTTTTGAAATAATAGTATGATGCAAATCCCAAATTAAATTATCATAATTTAGGTAGGTTTACATTAATTTCAAAATTGTTTTTAAACATGTCTTAAATATGGCTAATTTTAAGTTTAATTTACTCAATTTTCTTGAAACGCAACATACTGTATATTATCTTTGCATAAAATTCCTTATAAATTTGCCTATAGAACAATACCAATGTGTTAGTCAATAACACATATACAGGGTGTCCCATCATGCGTAATTAATCGATAGCTGTTTTACGAGGATGGGATGAAAAGTTTCCGGCCTAACCTATAGTAAGCCCGATTTGTTTTCCTGTTCCAACGTGTCTGTGAACCCTTGCTTATCGTCAGTATACGCTCGAAGTTTAAAGTGAGTGCTTCAAGTAGTTTGTGTTCTGGGTGTTTTAAAAGCTTATAAAGTGCGCCACTTTTAAAAGATGGAAAAAACGAGATAAGAGCGGTGATAAATTATTTCCATATCAAAGGATTATCGCCCATGGAAATAACAGCTGAACTAGATGTTACACTAGGGGAATCTGCTCCTTCATTTACCACAGTTAAAACCTGGGTAGCGGACTTTAAACGTGATCGTACTAGCACTGATGATGCTCTGCGTTTTGGCAGGTCAAAAACGGCAACTTCTGAAGAAATGGGCAAACCGTTCACAAACTAATTCTAAAATATCGCAGATTAAAATTGGAAGAGGTAGCTGAGGCTGTGGGCATATCAAAAGTTTTAGGTATGAGAAAGCTATCCGCCCGATGGGTGCCGCGTTTGCTCACGTCAGATCAGAAGCTCACGCGACTAAACATTTGGCACTGATTAGACGTGATCCAGGGGACTTTTTGAATAGATTTATTATGGTTGATAAAACATGGGTTTATCATTATACCCCTGAAACTAAACAACAGTCCAAACAGTGGACGGCAAAGGACGAACCAGTTCCAAAGAAGGCAAAGGCAGTACCGTCTGCTGGAAAGGTCATGGCAACAGTCTTTTTGGATGCTAAAGGGATACTCCTAATAGATTATCTTGAAAAGGTAAGAACAATAACAATATAAGCGAAAAACGCCCTGGTTTGGCAAAAAAGAAAATTCTGTTTTATCAGGACAATGCACCTTGCCACAAGTCCGTTCTTGTAATTGGTAAAATTCATCAGCTAGGCTTTGAACTGTTAAATCATCCTTTGTATTCGCTAGACCTAGCCCCGTCAAATTTTTATTTGTTTCTAAACCTAAAAAAAATTCTTGCTGGCAAAAAAATGTCCACGGATTTAGAAGTAATTGCAGCCAAACGCCTATTTTGACGAGTTGGATAAATGACTACAGTGACGGAATTAAATCGCTTGTCCCCTACAAGGGGACTAATGTAGAAAAATAAATTCTTATTCAGTCACTATTGTGTTGCGTTCTATGTTAGGCCGGAAACTTTTCATCCCATCCTCGTATTATTAGAAATACGAAGAAATGTTTCATGTAAAAGTTGTATGACCTTATTTAATAAATATTCTTAAATATACAGGGTGGTCCATAAACGAGATGCTGACCAAATCTATACTTGTTTAAAGCAAAACATCCTGCAGGTAGTAATACATATTTGATTGTTTTTATATCGTCAAACAATTTTAATTGACTTCATTCATTTGCTATGTTGTATATAGGTTGTGTCAAAATGTGAGGTTACGGTTTTGTCAAATTTTTAAATGGAATACCCTGTATTAATTAATTGGTGGTATGACATATAGGGTATTTTATTAAAAAAAAAGAGAAAATCATTACCCCTCATTTTGAAACACCCTATATTCAACATAACAAATACATGAAGTCTATTAAAGTTGTTTGACGATGTAAAAACAATTAAATATAAAGTTTGGTCAGCCCCTCGTTTATGGACCACCCTGTATATTTAAGAATATTTATTAAACATAGTCATACAACTTTTATATTAATCTGTTTTTCCTATTTCCAATAATAAAACAGCTATCGATCAATTACGCACTATTGGGACATGTTGGTATCATTGAATAGGTAAATTTATAAGGAATTTTATGCCAAAAGAATATACAGTGCGTTGCAGTTGACAAAATTGAGTAAATTTAACATGAAATTAGCCATATTTAAGACATGTTTCAAAACACTGTATAAAATAAATCAGTTCTATCACCTCGGAAATAGAATGGTCTACAAATATCAACCAGAAGTCCTTTTTTTTATGACAAATGGCGTGGGAAATAATTATTAATCTTAAGTTTTATATAATATAGGGTGTTCAAAAAGTTTTGAATAAAATTGTTTCCTTAGCCCTTGATTCTACGCCAATGGGTTTTGGTAATTTATCGAAATAGAGTGTTTTAACTAAAAATTACGATTTACTAATATATACATATTTTTAAGTTAAAGTTTATAGGACGTTTATAGAACGTTTATAGGACGTTTATAGGACGTTTATAGGACGTTTATAATTCGTTAAGATCTACAAATCCCCAAAATTACGGTACTTTATTCTGAAACAACCTGTATAAATAAATAAAAAATTAAAAATTTCGTTACAAAATTCACTCTTTTTTCTGGAAATACACATATGAATCCTAGATTGCATTGTTACCATATTTTAAGATAACACGCTACGCTTTCACCAATAATGTGAGAAGTGTTGCTCCCCACCCCAAAAAAAAAAAAACCTAGCTACACGTTTGGCCAGCGATAAGGATTGAGGTTGGCGTTAGTTTTTAGGGCCGATTCCACCGTTGTGTTCAAACGAAGTTTAAATTACTAAACGAAGATTAAAATAACATAGTTAATGTAAAAATATAATTTTAATATTCCATTAGTAATTTAAACTTTGTTTAACTCAACGGTGGAATCGGCCCTTTAGGCAAAAAAAATCAACCACCAAAGTGGCCATAGAGAAATACATCTTTGGTAGATTTAAACTTCATTTCAACAAATGTACGTAAGACCTCCGCTAACATTATGTTAAACTTAGATTGTGACATATTTCATAAACATTCAAATAGTAAGATTACTCAGTATATACCTAAGGTAACGTCTGCTGAAACTCTCTATTATAAATAGTCCATTAATTACTAAATACATATGGTACACGTAATATGGCCCAGTCAGTAGTTTAATTAAATACTCTAATGTCATTACAGTCAGTGGAATATCATAGAATATGTAATAACCAGGTCGCTTGGAGTATTAATAAAAGGATGCTTTCAAAATTAGAAAAATTTACTTTATTTTCCAAAAGACAAAAAAACGATACTTGCAACATGGCGCCTGACATTGACAAGCCCAATTGCCAACCTTCATAACCAGGAATAACTTGACATCATAGTCCATTTCTTGCGATACCGCAGAATCATATAAAATGGCAGAAAAAAGGATATTGCCCATGAGCCGAAAATTGGCAAATATGACGAACAAGTTTTGAGAATTACCTAAAGCCTAGTGAGTCATGCAGCAAAACACAAACCGTGCAATGTGCCCAACTTTTATATTACATTGGCGACGAAGTGTTCAAAATATATAGAACATTTTCGTTTCTAAATTAAAACATTTAGTAATAAAGTGTAAATTCAAAGATTTGGAAGATGATTTAACAAAGCCTATGACCATTTGCGGCGTCTCAAACTCCAACATCAGGCAAAAACTGTTGCAAGGGAACCCGGATACAGTAGAAAAGTGAAAGAAATCTGTTTTGTAATGAAGAAAACTCAAGAAAAAAGTAAAGAAATGGAAGCTTCATCTTTTCAAGTTGACCTGGTAAGAAAACCAAACACTAAATTCAAATCTTTTAGTAATTGTTACAGCTGTGATAAGTCACACCCTTTAAATACTTGTGCGGCTTATGGCCAGTTATGTAACTTTTGTAGAATTCCAAATCATTTCTCAAATGTCTGCAAAAAGAAATCAAATAAAATGGATGAGGAAACAACTGCTTCAGAAAATTAAAAATCACAAATAAATTGATAATCTAGAAATGTAAAATTCAGAAGTAATAAAGGAACCGTGGGTGGTAGAATTTTTATAAATAATAAGTTATCAAAATTTAAAATAGATACAGGAGCAATGACCAACATAATTTCTTTTAAAAAATTCACAGAACTAGGGTATAATTACAATGGCATCATATAAGAAAAAAACCTTAATTGCATGTATAAAAACAAATCCTATGAAATCACATTCTTTATTGTAAACACTAACAAAGAAAATATTCTAAGCCACAAGGCATCATGTTATATGGGTTTAATACTAAAAGTAGATTCAGTTAATGAAAATTGTTATGAGCCTCTAATAAAAACTTTTTGCGCAAAACGAACCACTTTGAGCAATCTATATTTATGTATCATGTCCTCCGAACAATTACTAATAGAGGGAGCGTGAAAACGAGTTTGTAGGCGATTGTTGTGTTAGCAACATCTGTAGAGGAAGTGAGGAAGCGGGCACAAGGGGGAAGGTAAACATCCTTCTTGTTCAGTGGCGTATCATTTATCTATAAAAACACACATTGTTCAAATGTTTTAATTGTAAAAAAAAAACTAAAAAATTTGCTAATTTTACTATTTTTAAAATGAATACCGTCTTATATATGTCTAATGCAGGAAAAGAAACAAAATCACTGTAAAGGTCTAATTTTTTCAATTGAAGAATAAAACCTTAAAATCAATTTTATTATAAATACAGGAGCGACTAGTTTTGGCCTTACAGGAACATCTTCAGGCCTGTAATACAATAATCTTTAATTATTATAATAGGTTGGTCACTTACGAATAACATTAAATAGTATAAACCACAATAAAAGAGCAGTGCAAACGTAACTAAAAATAAGAAATACGGAATCTACAAGAGAAGAGGTGAGAATGAGCAATTACGAATGCATTTAAATTGCTCGGGATAACAAATAAAGCTGATGATAATGTAGTGGTATAGTCCCCATCAAAGAAGGTCTGGATATGTTAAAGAGGACGGCGTTTTCTCTGTAAATCTGGAGAATGTAAGGATGGAGGGAAGACGAATCTTGCTGGATCAGGTGTAGATGGCTAGAAAAAGGAGCGTGTAGATGAAAGCTCCAGTAAATATCGTCAATTTCGTCTAATTTTTATTCTCACTCACCGTTTCGGCTTTATCTTCAAAATTCATTTTTAAAAGGAAATAAAAGTAATCATTCATACAAGCATATAATAAAACAACATGAATTTATTATATTTAATAAGCTAATAAACGTTTGTTTTAATGAAAAAAACATATATGAGAGTATAAAAAATATATAAATAGATAAGATTAATATCAAAATCTATTTGAAAATACAACAGATTTAAAAATGAAATAAATTAATACAAGTACAAATAGAAAGTTAATAACATACCTTCTAAAAGTAACACATTTTAAGTAGATAAATATTTAAAGAGTTTATTCCTGAACATAACTGATCTAATGTTTTTCCCCTTTTTAATATTATGAGGGTTTTTGTAGTTGAAGTGAAAATTATAATTTATTTTGGTCCTAATAAAAATTTAAACATAGGTTATCAAAGAGTAAAATTCATAATAGAACTTTATAATCTTAAATCGTTATCAAAAATTATTAATGGTAAAACTTCAAACAATAATTAGATTCTTAAACAAATTTCTAGTTTTTGTTTTGCAAAAGACTTTTTTGCCTTCTTCGGTTGCCTCTGCCACTTTTCTTTTAGTAGTTTCGAGGAGAATTTTCCTATGGAAACCAGTAGAACCATCAATTGGTTGGTAAAATTTTGATATTTTGAGTCTGGTAAGTCTTAATAAACTTTCTTCTTAGGAAGCTATAACCTTATGTAGAATAAAAATTTAATGTTAGATCAAAAGCTCTTAATTGAGAATTATATTTGCAAATGCTGTTTTAATAATATTTTCAAAAGTTCTTGGAATCGTTGTTAACAGAAACTTGCAAAAAAATATATAATTTTATTCCTAAAATATAAGATATCACACAATGCTCATATAATATCATTGTGCTAGAAAAATACTAGGTAGTTACTGAGACAATTTAAAAAAAGTATTTCGAGAAACTCAACTTTTAATGTCATCATTGTACTTATCTTTTTTATTACTAAATTATTAATAATGTCATTTTGTGTAGTTCGTTGTGATTTGTATAATATATATTATTAAAACCCATCGTCAATGTTAATGTGCCAAGTTTTTTTAATAATTATGTCCTTGTTATAGTAAAAACACATTTAAACACATTTTTAAAGTTTTCTGGATTTCTGCTTTAAATTATCGTACAATTGAACTGACTAATTGTGTGTTTCAGTAAAGGTATATCTCTTTTTTGTTATAACAGTCTTTGTATATTGTTCTAACTTTTAGATAATCAGAGAAAAAACAGTAAGACATCTTAATATATCCTATTTCACCAACAAAAATGTAGAATAATTAATCTCACATCAAACGAAAAAAGTAATTTTAGGATGTCCTAATAGGTTTTAACTTAAAACTAAATAAAATGTATATTGCAACTGTGTTTAAATAAATGAATGTTTTTATACCTGACTATAGCACCAGACAAACATTATTTTAGATCATAATGATCTGCATAACTCAAAATAGTCAGAATCCACATTATTTAAGTTGTTCTAGTATTGTTTTAGCATAACGATGTTAACTCCAATAATAAATATTCACATTTTTTTGGGACGTTTTTTAAGGAAATTAAAGAAAAACATGAATAATGTGATATTCTTGTTTAGTTGTGTACTATATAATATAGTTCATTAGGTAGTGATTTAGAAGCAAATTATGTTCTATTTATAGAATAAAAATCACTCATAATAAGTAATTAACCTTTACTATAATCATTATGAGACGGATCAAGACGAACGTAGCTGGAGTGTACTTGCTCTTAATTTTAATTTTTCGATAAGAAAATAAAAAAGTTTAATTGCAAATTAAAGGTGATTGCCTAATGCACCGCCTCTGATAATTAGGTTGTGTCTGTACTTACTTATGATATTATCTTGAAGAAGCATTTTCAACAGGCCTTTTACACAGAAAGCATGTTTTCACCATATTATTAGAGATAATAAATCTTAAATATACATTTACAACCTTTACAACGTTATAAATAATAATATTTTCCGTAAAATACAAATAAGAAATTGACATGTGTCAGAAAGTGTCAGAACTGGCGCTCACGAAAACTTCTGGCGCTGTCAAACTTCGTAACGCTGATTAAATAAGCCAATTACAGAAGAGGTATTTTCCCCCTCGGGGGGAGTTGATGTTGCTAACAAAATTTAGCGCGGGGAAGGGGGGAAGACTCCCTCTAGTAGTAATTGCTCGGAGATCATGTCAACAGGTCCACATATTTGCCATATCTAAACCACAGTTTATAGCTAAAGAATCAGTTCGCTCACTCTGCGTCGGCACTTTTGATCTCAATGTTCCCGTTTATACATTGCGCAACTCGGATTTGCATCCCTGGCGCATACATAATCAAATCATAATAGTCCAAGTGCCCACTGCACTTTTACCGCCACCTGATAATGAAATCAAATATACTCCAAAAGCTTGTAAAAACATTGTACTTTGCCAAATGGCAACTGTGCGAATCTCAATCCTGAGCAGAATGGTTAAAAAATATTTTATATTAAAAAAATCACATAAGGCATGACAGCGCTAATTTTGTTTGCCCTTAAAGTTTTCCAGATAGTAACATATTCAAATATATCTTGATATTAATTGTTAACGGGAAACATTTTCTTCCTCTTAACATCGCACAAAAATATCTACACACGATTAGTAGGTATAAATCATTAAAAATATTAATCAATTTTTGCTGATTTAAAAATTTATTTGTATGCCTATTGTTATGATTCATTTTTACAGGTTGCCATAGAAACGACAAAAAAACTACTATGAATTTGGTTTATAAGAATTGTCTAACAAGAGTTTATAATTATTATTGATTGTTATGTGCAAGTGGTTTATACAATGTCATCCTTTTTCCTTTCACACATACACATGGTTTAAAAGGTAGGTAAAAATATTAATAATTCTGGTTTAATAGCTAGGTTTACAATGAATTAGGATTGTAATTTTCAGGGAAAACACAATTATCGCTGTCATGTCTTATGCGATTTTTTGAATATAATTTTTTTTTAACCAATTTGCTCAGAATAGAGATTGGCACAGGTGCAGTTTGGTAAAGTACAATATTGTTACATGTCTTTGGAGTATATTTTTTTTGTTATCAGATGGTGGTCGTAATTTGAAGTGGGCTCTCTTACTATAAACCAGTTAGACATTCCAACGACCTGTCAAACAAAATAGATGCCAGTGAGAAGGTGTGGTATATCTAAGGGGGTAGCGACGTAGTCTTGCATCTTGAACGCCTTTTTTATTCGAAATAATAGTCACCAAACCTTCCAATTTATGAAAGAATGTATAAGCGGTTTCTTTAGAATTATTTTTACAATAAGTTTAAGAGATTTTATCCCCCAAAATTTTAATTATTGAATAATGATAATAATTTTAAATTCAGCTCTTTTAATAAAACTAGGAGCAGGTTAGGTAAGGTTTCTTATTTTTATTATTATTTTTATTGTGTTTGACATCAAATATTTAAATGTAATCCATTATTCATGATTTTACGTGTTGTAAACATCGTATGTCGCAACCCCTGGATATATAAAATCTTTCCACTGGTAGTTCATTTGCTTGAAATGCCTAATACAATATATGACAACTGCCTATGTGTTCTGCGCATCCTGAATTTGTATCCCTGGAGTGGATGTTATTTTGGAACATCCAATTGGTCCGAGTGAGCTAACTGATTCTTTAGCTATTAACTGTGTCTAAACTGTCAGTTGCCACAAGTAGCATTTTGTCAAATTTGTCAAAACTTTTAATAAGAAAATTAAATTTAAAAAATGGTATTCAACAATATATTTTTAAACAATCCCTTATGTTACCAGATCAGGTGGAATACTGGTATTATTGATTACTCTGTATATTTAAATATGTATAATTAAAAAAAAAAAACTCACCAGTTAAACCAGAAAAATAAAGCAACCATGGAAACGTGTTCGATTTCTTGTCAATTCCAGAGCAAATTTGTTTTGTTCCATTTTGTAAAAAGCTCTCCTTGCATTTGCTTTCTATCATATTTCTTCAAAATGAATCTGTTACGATAAATATTTGACAGTCGTTAAAAACATAATTAATTAAATGTTTCATTTGAATATTTTTTTTTAGATAATTTTGCTAAAACCTAAATATATTTAAAAATATTGAAATTGATAATGCTGATAATGAGTTTAATTATAAAGGTGACGATGAGCATAATCTATATAAAATAAGGATATTACCAACATAATTAACTTAATTAATTTACATAGTACAGGAGCGAATTAAAGAAATTAAAGACATGTATTTATCAAACTCTTTCTGCGTTACAACTATTGTTTAATTTGGTGTCATCGGCGTCGACTACTACGGCCATTAGCCTCGTGTTCTGTGTAGGCTTTGTTACTGTTTCCCAGCGCCACTTTAGGAACAGCACTGTTAATTAGAACCCAACAGTGAATGGTCGAGTGGGGAATCCTACCAAGGCATCAGAATTAATTTTAAATAATTAAATTAAATGAAAAAATCCCGGCCAACAGTGGGATTCGATCCTGAGACCTTCCGATCTCAAAGTCATGACTCTAACCACTGAGCTAACCCCCCCCCCCGTTACACCTATTATACACATGTCTAGTATTTACATGAATAAATCTATGATAATATTGCTAAATTGAAATAATAAAAACACAAATATGTTTGTATTTTATGAAATAATTTGGAATACAGTAAAGTAGTAAATATTAAAAAAAAATAGAAAACCAAAAAAATATACTCTTGAAAAAACTAAAAAAAATATCACTTTAATAAATATTTTTAGATCTGTCAAGCAAGTATACGGAGTTTCCATGTATAACTTGAGAGAAGGATATATTTGCACAGTATACAGAATATTACACCTGGATACCTATTCTCTAACTCATGGGAGCACTCCCATACTCCCATGCCCACGTTGCCAAGTCGACCTAAGGTCCGTATTTATAAACAAAACTCAGCTGAGTCGGACTTGGGTAAGTCGTCCTTGAACGAAAATCGAAGTTCGGTTATATCGCATGAATTTAGAGATGCGTAGTAACAAATTCGTAAATGTACATAACAGTTACAGATTTGCTAATATTCATCTCTAAATTCCAGTCTAACACTAGAACCACCTAGAACTTTAGAGACGTTGTAACAGAACTTCGATTTCAGTTCAAGGACGACTTACCCAAGTCCGACTCAGGCACATACTTTGATTACTATACGGGGCAAGAGAGAGGTCCGACACGCCCAACATAGGGCGCGGCCATTTTGAACCCTATGACACAGTTTATAGCCAACGAATCAGATCGCTCACTCTGTGTCGGCACTTTTTATCTCAATGTTCCAGTTTATACACTGCGCAACTCAGATAATATAATATATGACAACCGCCTATAATAAAACAGCAGTCTTCTGCGTATCCTGAATTTGTATCCCTGGAGTGGATGTTATTTTGGAACTTTCAACTGATCCGAGTGAGCTAACTGATTCTTTAGCAATAAACTGTGAATCCAAAAATAATATTCACTGACACTGACAGCAGCAAGCAAAATATCAGGTGCGTTTTAATCATCCGCTTCTGCTTCTGGAATTGTCGGTTCAGTCGTTCTAACCTGTCAGATTAAAACAAGAAAACCGACAATTCCGAAGCAGAATCGGATAATTAAAACGCACCTATTAAAAATATTGCGCCAAGATGTAATAAGGGTTCAAAATGGCGGAGTTTTCTATCTCCTTTTAAAAGGCACTCAGAAAGCTGCGTAGTACGACCATTCTCCGTATAGTAAAAGAAAATCAAAGTATGTGATAAATACGGACGAAAATCTGGCAAGCCCGCAATTCTCCCTCCCATGGTATAAAATCTGACCTTACTACACTTAACTCCCATGGGAGCGTTCGCATGACTTAGTGAATAGCTATCCTGAACATAAAGTATTTTGGATTGCTTTTCCCGCATTTGAAGTAAATGAGGTACAAATAACAAAAGTTGTATTTAATAATAAATCATCAAAGGACATTTTAATTTGTGCAACTGTATTCTGGAAGTAGGCTATTGTTAGAGCTTGTATACATTTTTTTATTATAAGTAAAGTATTTTTTACTTCGTTTATCTTAGTCAGGTACTTTTATTTTTTAATAATAGGTTAATATTTTACTTTTTTGTTTGTATATAATTATTATATTCTCTGAAATGTGATAAATTAATAAAAAAAAAACAAACGAAATGAGTTCTTGTAAGTTAACAATATGACAAGCAAATATACAGCTATTACTAAGTAAATTTATTTAAAATTTACACAGAAATGTAAAAGGTTACCTTCTGATAAATATCATTTAGAATTTTTAAAACACTTTTGAGCAATATACCTTCAGTTTATTTTAAATAATTTTCATTGTTTTTGAAGATTGTGTTCATTATTATTAAGTCCCTTTGAAGTATTTTCGTTTTCAATGAATATCTATAGAAAAATGTTTTGAGGTAGATGTATGTGGAAAATGTACATATTTAGTTTATCCTCTAAACATGTATACAGGTGCTGCAATAAGTTGTACAAAATAACCGGAAAGTCATGTGTTGGACACATCAGATTTTTATTAGATCTTCTAATTTCTCTAACAAATCTTTATTTGATGGTTGGCTCATATTTACAATATTCAGCACTTGTTGACTGGATTATAAGTTCTATAGCGAAAAGGTATCTTATATTCAGTGTTTAAAATTTAAAATTTACAGAATTTTTAAATTTCTGATTAGATAGATATATATTTTCATATAGAAACTATAGTATTTACCTTATTGTTCGTATATATTGTCACAGTGGCACAGAAACACGTTTAGCTCGTACGACAAAATATATTCTTTGTAAAGGTTTATCAATCATTTAAAAAATTAACAGTTTTTAAAATCATTTGGTATCTAAAAAAAATCATTATAGATAATTAAAGTCTAATAAATTACAATAAACATTTTCAGCGTTTCGGTGTGTACTACTGTCGCCCACCATAATTTTTTTCTTTTGAAATTTCTAGTAACACTAATAAATATTTTTAATTATGAATGTAGTGAATCATAATCATATCTTGTACCCCGGTCAATTTAGACATAAAAATAGTGATCAAATAACAAACATTCCGAACGAGTTAAATTTTGGAAGAGACCTTGGGTACACCAGTAGAAATAAAGTGGCAAAAGCCTCCATTGATACCATGGGTGCTAAAAAAGTTATTCAAGATCAAAGACAAAATTTTCGCTTTTTTTAGATTTTTCTCGAAAACGGTAAGTTTTATCCAAAATATAGCCTAAACAAAAATTATAGATCATAAAATTTTTACAAAAATTTTCCCTATACTTTTTTCCTACGAATCACTATTCCTAAGATATCGCCATTCTAAAAGTTAAAGGAGTTACATTTTACATGATATGCACACAAATACCACGTGTATACATAGTCAGGCATTTAATATAAGTAAAAATGCCTATTTGTATCTCTTCTATGTTTAAATGATACAATTCTGAAAATAGACACTTAAAAGAAACTCAAAAGTCCCTTATAGAAGAATAGGAATCGACACGGAGTAGGGAAAATTCGGGTAACTTTGCGCAAATTTAAAATTTGTTTTGAAACGAGAACAACTTCTGTAAAGAAGAATCGCCGAAAGGCTTAGTAAATAGTTCAAAGTATGCCCTACATTATGGCATATATTAAACAAATCGTTTAAATAAAATTAATATGCTACAATATTTTTTAAAAACACTGTGCTCAGTTAACGTACCTGTATGGGGTGATTATAGGCTAACTCAACGGGCTGAACAAGCATTGGAAAGCAAAGAATTAGCACTAGGAGTCTTCCTAGATATAGAAGGAGCCTTTGACTCGGCTTCATACAATTCAATACTGGGATCTATGCAAAGGCGTGGAGTAGCCCACTGCATTACGAGGTGGGTAGAGTTCATGCTTAATCATAGAACCATTACCAGTAATCTCCTTAACACAACAAGAGAGGTCTCAGTTAACAAGGGATGCCCGCAGGGAGGAGTGCTATCTCCTCTTATGTGGACCTTGGTGGTTGATGACCTCTTATGGGAGTTAGAGAGAGAAAACTTATACACGCAAGCATTTGCAGACGATATAAGCATCGTAGTAAACGGTAAATTTGGGACTGTTGTATCCGAAAGGATGCAGCGGGCACTAAATATCGTCGAAAGATGGTGCCTAAAAGAGGGACTGTCCACAAACCCGACAAAAACCTCTGTTGTTGCATTCACAAGAAAAAGGAACCTTCAAGGAATGAAGGAGCTTTATATGTGGGGACAACATCTAAAAATAGCAAAGGTTAAATATCTTGGAATCACTCTCGATGACAAGCTAAGCTTCTGCAGCCATATAGAAAAAATAACAGAAAAAGCTGTAAGAATACTATGGGCCTGTAGACGGATGGTAGGGAACGCATGGGGGCTTAAACCAAGTATGATGCACTGGCTTTACGCTATGGTTGTAGTACCTGTTATACCTTACTCATCAGTCATATGGTGACACAAGACTAACAGAAAATTAGACAAGGTACAAAGACTAGCCTGCCTAATAATAACAGGGGCATTTAGAACTACGCCCACAGCAGCAATGGAGCTACTGCTAGGTCTAGAACTACAATATCATGCAATAAATGTAGTATTTTCCCATAAAACTCCCGTCAAAACAGATCTTGGAATAAACCTACCGGGAAACCACGTTAAAAAAAGCGTCAAGTACACTATCTCATAGGTGATGTGGAAATGTTTGCGTATCATGTAGAATTTAACTCCTTCAACTTTAAGAATAGCCATATCTTAGGAATGGTGATTCTTAGGAAAAAAAGTATAGGAAAAATTTTTATAAAAATTTTATAATCTACAATTTTTGTTTATTTTTGATAAAACTTACGTTTTCGAGAAAAATCTAAAAATACCGAAAATTTTGACTTTGACCTTGAATAACGTTGTTAGGAATCATGGGATCAATGGGCACTTTAGGCACTTTATTTTTTTTTGGTGTACCCAAGGTCTCTACGAAAATTTAGGTATGTCAGAATATTTTTGTTATTTGAAATGTCTATATTGATCGGACTATTGGGAGAAAACACTTTTTCGTACTCATAATATTTATAAAAACGACATACAAAATTAAACACACAAACAATTACAAATTCCAAATACAAATTCTTGATTAACAGTATTGACAGATGACTCATACAGTGCTGTCGCATTGCCATTTTCTTGTTTAAACATAAATAATACTTTAAAAAAACATTTGATATTATATATTTAAAAGATATTTTTTTAACGATATTTTAGAAGTATAAAAGTAAGAAGGTGGAGACAAACGAACGTATATTACTTTTCGTATATCGTCTAACCGGCAACGTTGGGTCCCTAGTTTCTATTGGTCTATTCCTGGCTACGTCACAAATTTTATAAAATTAATAACTCTGGCAAATGGAGAAATAATTTTTTTTAAAGTAGCTTTATTTATAACTGTATTATTTATAAAAAAACAAAATCCAAAATTTTTGAACATACCCCATTAAGTCGAAACCAGAAAGTGTCAAGCTAATATACACGTAACTCGAAGAATCAACCACTCCCGAGATACTGGTATGTTTTCACTCGAAATTGCCGGGTATACTACAAATATTCTCGAAATTTCCGAAATCAAAAATGATGGTCAAAAATGTAAATGCAGCAGCTTATGGATTAATAGACAATAAAAGAGCCCAAAAAAAGGTCATCTTACAAAATTAAGAAGGATTTTTCAGCTAAATAACCGAATCCACATATATTTTTTTTATGTAAATTGCGAAATACGGGTTCGTTTTGACTTTAGTAGATTCCCTAATGAAGTATAGAAGGGTAGAATGATAACTGCCAATGAAAAAGTAAATACAGTATGCACAATTTCGCTTTGCACATTTTGTAAACATGAATACAGGGACGGTCTGAAAACATTTTGTACAATAATTATAAAATAGTGTATCAGAAAATAACTGTCAAGTAAAATTTAATACTAAATTTAGCTTAAGTCTATTAAACAAAATTTTACAATTTTGACGTTCAAATTTAAAAAATTGCGTTTTTTAATAAATGGTTCTGAATTTCAAATACTTTACTTGTTTCACACTTTAAATTATATGTATTATAGTTTACCAGTTTACATATTAAATTTCCACTTACTCTATTAACAAATTAAAAAAACTGTAGGTATATTCATTGAATTAGTTTTACATTTACATAATGCACTACAGGTATGAAATAAATACCTAAATTAAAAATACATAAAAGCAACGGTATCTACGATACATTTATATTTTTGTTTACTAGTCATGAAGGTGCTGAAAAAATTTTTTGTATAGTTTATATTTTTTTAAAGTTGATATTGTATTTTCGTTCCTCAATTTTGAAATTTCTAATTCCTGTACTTGGCATGTGTTCAAACTTCTAAAAAAGTTAACAAAAACGAATGAAGAATTAAAATTTACCAAAATATAACAAAAAATTAAATCTTTCTTATCTTTTCTACGTGTCTTTTGTCTTTCTACTTTTGTGTACTCTCTAATCCCGTCGCCCCATCTTTTTAATTCTCCATAATTTGTATTTGCTTTGCTTCCTTTTATTACTACGCCCCTTTTTAAACTCTGTTGAACTATATGTTCACCTCCTCTGCTTCCTTAACTTCGCTCCAAAAGTACTTATTTTCTTAGGATTTATCTCCTTTTCAACCTTCTTAATAAATAATATTCGTCCTTTATCTCTTTCAAACTTTATTTTATCTAATTTCAACCTTTTTTTTAATGATTTTTATATTAATTATTTTTTTCTGACAATCGCTCTAAACCTGGCAATTTTCAATTTCCACTTCCCAAACTATCCTATTCTAGTTTCCGAAATCCTATTTCTAGAAATTTAACTACCTCAGTCGGAGATTGGGGACATAAAAAATGAAAACGCTCAGAAGAAGCCCATGTTTAATAACGAGATCAGCTGGATCAGCTTGAACACAGTTAACATCTGACCCACTATGTGGCGCTTTCATCGATATCAAATGAATAACGCAGCGGGAAATTTGAAATCCTGATAATAAAGGTTGTATAAATATCGATAGCACTCTCATGTTCTGGTAAATAAATTTAAACAATGCTAATTACGCTAAATTATTTATTAAAAAGATTACTACACTTACAGTCTATTATCTATTAATTATTGTAAATCTACTCATGATAAATATTTTTTAAGTTGTAACTTTGACATGTTTTTCTGATTTTCCAAAAGAATGGTCAAAGGTATCTCATTTATAAATATGTTGAGTGCAAACTTATTAATGGAAATTCAGATATTCTTCTTCCTATATCAAATCCTCTCTCTAATATTCTAAAGTAATTTTCTTATTCTAAAACAATTAATAATAATAAATAAATACTTTGTGACAAAAGTTGATTACTGTTTGTGTTACTTACATGGCTCGATCTTACTTTGGTAATTTAAAGAACGCCTATGAAGACTAGAGATAAGGAGGCGAATCGGCATGCTCAAAATACACGAGATGCTAAATGCCACTGGTACCTCCATATAATGCGCATGCTCGCTAAATGTGTCATCAAGATTGGCGCGGTTTTTAACTTGTCATTCTCTCCTTTGTCATTCTAGAAGAGTGATAATTTTTGTTTATCAAAATGGAATGTTGTAATACTCCGTTTGTGAGATTTTTTAACAGTCCAATTTAAATAGACATAGTCTAGAAGTACACGGTTTAAAAACAGAAACAGGACTACAATACCTAACTCATCCTACCAAAAAAGTGAAAGTTTAATACAGCAAGTTCACAATTACAGGATTCTATTTGCAAATAAAAATGGTA